GTCAAAAACTTCAGGATTTGCAGGGCCTGGATGGCTTTCTCATCTTGCGAGTTTTTCCAAGTATTTATCCAACTTGTTTAAACTGTGTAAGTGAAGATGTGTTACAGTTTTTATTGTCTTGTTTGCTTGTTTTTTAAAGTACATGTGGTACGTGTTTGCAGCTCACTCTTTTATTGCCAGCTTGGGAGAGCAGAGAAAGAAAGTAAGCTGCATTTTGGACTTTCATTTAGAACTAAAAATGTGTTTAAGGAGGAGAATTCTTTTTTTCCTTTAGGCAGTTCTAAACATGTATTGAAGAATACATCAGATGTTTCTTGCAGAGAATTGAATGTTGGTGCACAACAGACAGTAGGAGAGAAAGATGTGGATCAGAATGCAAAAATCTAAGCCACATTCTAATAAAATAGTTGAATTTCCATAAAAAAATTTATCATGACAAATTTATAGTGCTCAAGAGATATTAGGAACACTTCAGTTTTCATAATATCCTGTTTTTATATTTTTAAGAGACCTTAAAGGGTTAGCCCAATGTGGTTTTCCTGCAACACAGAAATACTTTGATTGCAAAACATTTATTTATAACAAGTTCTGTATAAAAAAATCTCCACAGGTAAAGGCAGTGAATGTTCTAAATCTAGATCAGTAGATGCAGAAAGATTACGCTGTTTTCCCTAAAAACTAATTAAACATTAATTGATCTGCCCCCAAGGTCAATAAATAAATTCTCCATGATGGCCCAGGTGTAGCAGTTGCAGAAGGGAATCTCTCCTTTACTTGAAAGTAACTTCATCCAAAACTATATAATTAAGTAACAAAGAATTTGAAGACAGGCTATGCCACTGTCTTGTTCTTGCTGAGTAAGACGGCAAAACTCGTTTTTACCTCCCAGAAATTGTTCACCATGGGCTCCTCATGCCACACTACTGTGGGGAGCAGCAGAAAAGCACCACAGAAGCAGTGCTGTAAAGCATCTCACAGGGCTGTGACTTGGGTACCTTTGTATTTAAAGATAGTAGATATTTACTTCCAGGGGAAGAAAAAAAAGGAAAAAAAAAAGAAAAAAAAAAAGAAGATTCAATACATGTTCTTGCAACAAAATTTATTATAAGAAAAGAATCTGCACAGTTCAAAATGGAAAGTAATGGTCAGGCTTCACAAACAATAATGACCAACATGACCACTGTTTGCATCATCCATAATGCACCTTCTTGGTTTGAATCCCATACTTTTGGCAGCAGCAGCTGAAAGGAAGATTAAATCCTGATCTGTGCTGATGTTTTTCCCAAAAAGTTACATCAGTTACTGTTCTGCTGCCACACCTACTTCATGTGCTGTCTGATGCAAGAAGGAGAAGCAGTTTTTTTGCTAGCTGCAAGTTCTGAGCAAGATAGAAATTGTTTGAGGCAAAGGAGACTATATGTCTATTTTGCTTGCTTGGCACTTGCTTAGATTATGTGCAAACTACTACTGCACTGGCATATTTCAAAAATTGGATTTTACAACCCTGGAACTTATGTGCAAGAAGGTGTTTTTATTTTTAGACTGAGCAGTTGAGCAAGCTGATGATGGTAAGGGAAGGGAACCCTACTTAGCTTGGAACTGGGAGCTGGCAAACCTAATGGAAAACAGGGAGATGTATAAAGAGTCTGGAATAGCATATGGCTTTACACTCCATTAGCTCCCCCCTGACAGCAAGCGGGTTTTACTTTTCAAAAATACGGAAAAGTGCAATCAAATTTAAAGTAGCTTTGTTAACCAGTATAATTAGGGTGTGATTTTAGTTTGGGGTGGCCACCTTTTCTGGCTTTTGAGACACCCCACTGAAAGTTCCAAGTGTCAAGCAGCAGGCAGCAGCAGTGTGTCCCAGCCCTGCAGCAGAACTGTGGTAATGCACGGATTTCAAATAAATCCAGCTTACCTGCTATTAGTCTCATTTTAAACCAGATTTTAGTAGTGAATGGAATTTAGCAGATCCCCCTCTACTTGAATTGGAGCTATTGGTAAGAAGCAGCTTTGGAATTTTCTTCCTGGTATTTATTATAAATTTTTCATTTTAATTTTATTCCCATATCTTTCTTAGAACCTTTTAGACTTCACCTTCTCTCCTTTTAATATTTTTCATTACACTATATTACATGCTTTGATTTCATATTTAAATTAAAATCAGATTTTTTTATTATTAATTTTAAATCAAACACTATAGTAAGATGTTCTTACCTGAAAACCTTTCCATCTATCATTTGCTGGAAGTCAGGGGCAATTCTCAGGCATTTCCTTTTCAAATATAGGAAGGTACTGGTACCACAATAAGCATCTGAGTGGAAAAACTAAATCTGAAAAATAGTATCACATTGTAAATGTCATTCAGCACTGGGGATAAGTGCCTTAAAGTTTTTATATACTTCAGATAGTCAGTTAATTTTGACATAGATCAGAAAAAGATTAAGATTATTGGAGAAAAATCTCAGCACTAAACTCCATTCATTTGGTGTGATTTAAGTCAGAACAAGTCACTAAGGTTTGGAGATAGATTTATTAAAATGCAGCTGAGAATTTGTCTGGACAACAGATTCTTCTCACTGTTCCTCCACGACCTAAAGTTTATAATAAAACAATTTTAAAATGTGTATTCTGTGGTTCTGTAGACATGAATATTTTCCTCTATGGCCTCTTCTAGAGAAGACAAAAGAGGATTCTGAACTAGTTGTGGCTGTTTGAACAAAGCCAACTTTTCCTTCTGTGTATGGGTAGAACCTGATCTGCACTGGTTTGATTCAGCTTCCTAATCCGGCAAAAATTAAACTGGATTTGGCTTGGGATATAAATGCAACATTATTCATTCTATAAATGCATAGCAGTTTAATCTAACGTTGTTACCAGAGTGTCTAGAGCTCCCATGGTAAAACCAGCATGCAGATGTATTAACAGTAGTTAATTTCCAAAAATATGCTTAAAAGGGGTGGTTGAGACAATGGTATGATTTCTGAAAAGTTTTTCCTTTAAGGATCTGAAAATTATGGCACATTTACAGTAAAAATAAGTCATGATTATCTGTGTTAAACAGGCAAAAACAACTGGTACATTTTAGTATTAGGATGACTATCATTTGGAATTGCACAGTGCTCCAGATATAAACGTTTTGCCTGCAGATGTTTTCATAAACACCTCCATTCTGGTTAATGTCTTACTGAAGTAACAAAATACTAGATCCCCTGGATGTTTATTCAACAGCTCTGGCCATATTATTGCTTTATGTTACAAATGTGCTCTAATACAACACAACCTCTCGGTTTGTCAAACATATGCTATTCTTACTATTTTCATGCTCATAGGAAGCTGCAGTAGCATTTCTAATTACATATTTCTTTTGAAGTCTTATAGCCAAAGCAACAAATGCATCCAGAACTCCAGATGTTTCAATTTCAGTTTGGTACATGAGGGATATAATCGTATATCTGGCAACCTGCAAGCATTGCAAGGCCAGTTTTCAGTTTTGTGTTTTCTTTCTGTAACTGAAATGTGCAATTACATTTGGCAATAAGCACGAATGTTGCAAAATATTAAACCATATAAAGACTATGGTGTCTTTAATTTAGAACAGATTTCTAAAAGCAAAGCTCTCATCACTGTTTGATCCTTTCTCAATGGGTTATTCCCCTGCAGCATAAGAAAAAAGTATTTCCCATCTTTGGATGCAAGCAGATAAACCAGTTGAGTGATTACTCAGAATGTAAAACAAAACAAAACAAAAGAAAGACCAAACACAAAAAAAAACCACCAAAACTAACAAACCACAACTTAAATTATGCTTTTTTAAATCTAGATTAAAAATGTCCCACTTTAGTTCCACTAACAGTTCAATCCAGGAGATTCTACCGTGAAAAGACCAATTATTTCACGTCTTTAATAAGCATAAAAATGGAATTGTCCTACAAGGAGTGTGATGAGGACGCAGCTAAAAATACCAGCACTGAAAGTGTTGTGGGTTATATCCTTGTCCTGTCATAGCTAAGGAGGAAATTCCCTCTGAACTCACTTGGGTCAGTAATTTACCCTTTGAGCTTTGCATTCCAATTAACCATATCATCAGAATTCTTCCTTCTTCAGCCTTTCTTTGTCGCTCTCAATCTCTCCTCTTCCCAAATTTTTGCTCATCTGCTAGAAGTTTTGTCCTCTTTTTCTGGGACTCATTCTACGTACTTTAGTTTTCTTTATTTCTAAATTATGTTGTCTGCACTTGTGTAGTGGTGGATCACAGGAGGGAAGGAAGCAGCGAGAAACGTGCACTTGGAGTCTGGAGTGGTGTTTTGAACACATGTCAGCAGGGTGACAGTCACATGGCACACACTTTACTGTCAGCTGCAGGTGATGGATCCTAAAGGCAGGATATAAATCCCTGCTGCCTGGGATAACAGTATGGGTGTCTCACAGCCCTCACCCGGGACAGAGATTCAGAGTGGAAAACATCTATTGATTTATACCACACACAAGAGGTGATTCTTCCCATATTATCCTTGTGCCTATGGAAAGTACCATTACAAAACACAGATTGCATCCTGAAGTGACTACTGCAAGCTTGAATTCTCTGTATTTCTGTAAAAGAAATAGTTTGATTACTCCCCAAATGAAAATGTTGCAGAAGTCCTCTTTTTCTTCTGTCTCTCCTAGGGTTTCTGGAGGAGAGCTCTTTGAACGCATCATTGATGAAGACTTCGAGCTGACAGAGAGAGAGTGCATTAAATATATGAAGCAGATTTCAGAAGGAGTTCAGTACATTCATAAGCAGGGTATTGTTCACTTGGATTTGAAGCCAGAAAATATTATGTGTGTCAACAAGACTGGTACAAGCATCAAACTCATTGACTTTGGACTTGCAAGAAGATTAGGTAATGACTTCTCTGCCTATTTCAATATGACCGGGGGAAAGGGGCAGGACAAACAGTAATTCGTGCTACCTAATATAGTCTTTCATATATAAAGAGTAAATAATGTTTCCTATAAATAGTTCTGGGTTTAGGAAAAAATAAAAAAGGGAAAAAGAAGGTATTCAAGAGGAGTGTGCAGTGAACTGTATACAAACTACATGTCTATTCCTATAGGTAGGGTATCCCTGTAGATTACAGGTAAAATACACAGTAGTGGTAATGTTAACAAATACTTACATTTGCTATAGGAAACTATAAATCACTAACTTTCTAACTAAATACTTCATGAATACTACAAAACCTTGAACTTTTTGTAATCACAGGAATTAAGGTGATTTTCTAGAGGTCTTTCAGATCTAGATAATTATAGTTGATTTACCCATTAGTTTTATCACTTCTTAACTTAAACAGCAGGATATTTTCATACATGTTAAACATCAGAGGAATTCTATATGGAGCTGTGTCATAGTACTACTTAAAAATAATACAAAGGGGGAAGTACCACTTGACAAGTTCCTCCTCTTCCTAAGCTGTTTTTAGCAGCTTTCTATCATTCATTTTGGTCTAAGATTCCAACATGCTTTGCAACTTGAAAGCCAAAGACCTTCAATGGTTCTTGTCTTCACATTGTTCAGTATTAGTTCAGCTCTAAAAAGCAGCCCTCCAGTTGTGCTTCCAGTGTTAGTGATCAGCACACACTGATCTTTTTTAATCTTGTATTTTCACAAAAGAAAAAACTATTCCAAGAATTAAAAGGAACAAAAATAATTTATGAACCTGTTACTGGGAGAGCTGAGATTTGTGGCTCTACTGACAATAAGTGATTGGGACAACTCATATGAATTCTTGCTCTCTATATAAGGGGTCCACAGCTAGATTCCTACTTGCAATCTTTTGTCTTCCTTTTTTAACAAAATTATTTTTAATACTTATTAAAAATAGAACAATGTTTTTTGGAAGAGTACAGTTTGGAATTACTACCACCTGGTTTTTGTTATCTGCCTAAATGCTGCTCATCCTAGTTCTTTTGACACTTAAGTAACAGACTACTGCATTCCCAAGAATATAATTTTACTAAAACAAACAAAAAATACTTTTTTAAATGAATGGGGGAAAACAAATCCACTCTTCAGAATTTTACATGATGTTCAGCTCCAAAAGTGTATTACATGAATCTTGGTCACACAGACACTGTTAACTCAGAGATAAGATGTTTATTTTATTTATTAAAAAAAGAAATCACTGCCATTTATGTTCGTTCACTAGAATGGAGCCAACAGTGTTCTAGGAACATGAACTGGATTTTGTTCTTGTTGAGGAAACAGATAAACTGTTAACTGAGTTCCAGTGCTGATGTTTTGGTTATCAGAGGTGTGTGAAAGATTTCAGCCCATGATGTTCCAGCTGTCAGCCTGAAAACTATACATTTATTGCTGCAGGGAGTGGATTTCATCAACAAGAGATACAATGTAAACACAGAATGGCCTTTTTATAGAAACTTCTTCAACTACTTTTAACTTCAGGCCACAGTTAAACTGACATTTAGCAAACAGAAGATCCTATTTTCAGTAGCCTGTTCATATCCATCAGCTTTTCCATTTTTCCTGGTAATCTTGTGGCATCACAGTGCTTTGCCCGGCTGACACCAGCTTGTGAGCTGCTGCAGTCGTACCGTGTGTAGCAAATCTCTAAACTCCAGATAACTTTCTGTGATGTAGAAGGATGAGAGCTATGGGCACTGATGCTGACTTTGATTTTACAGTGCTGTATTGCTTAGTATGTTGCTAATTCTTGCCAAAGGCCACTATAGGTATTTGCTATTCATCAGCTGCTGTTCTGGATAACTCCGCTGTGTGTGGTATTTCCCTAGGAAGAGAAAGTGCCCTTCCATTTCATGCCCATAAAGCAAAAGCACTCTGTTCATTGGGAAGACAATTTTAACAGTTTGGTTGTCTATTGTTTTGAGATGATTTCCAAAAGCAGAAAACAACTTTTGCTGTTTCATTTACTTGCAAAAATTGCTAAAAATGCTTTTCACTAATGCCTGCTTCTTGTCAATTGTCTTACGTGGTGCACTGAGGGCACTTGTGCTCCTTCAAACTTTGTGATTTTGAAATTGGTTGTCAAAGTCACTTTGGCATTGATAGATGTGGGACTGGAGCCCTCATACTATGGACCTGACTCTGACTGAGCAGAAACTGCTCAACCAAGGGATTGCTGAAGGGAGCAGTGGCTGACTCTGCACTTCAGGTTCTGAGATTTACTTTTAACTTTTTGTAACCAGTGCAAACTAATGCCTCTAAATATTCACTGTTTTGATCAGTTTTAAAGATATTAAGATCAGTTCCTTCTGCAGTCATCTTCTGCAGCTAATTAGTTCTCCTGCACTGTCAGGAAATACCAAAGCTGCAGTGGGATATTTTCCTGACCTTTTTTGGTGTGCTGAGGAAGACATGTAGAAAATTGTTTAGGATAAACCTCTTGAGGAGAAAGGCGAATGATTTTTGAGTACTGTAAAGATTTTTTTTTTTAATCAGTTGATTATACACAGTGTCAGCAACAGTTTCCAATTAGCTTGTCAGCTTTCTATCTGAATTAAGGGATCTCCAAACATAGATCCTACTTGTGTACTAAGCTTGTAAACAACTGGGTAAAGATTTGACATATTATTGCATAGAAAAGATCTTATTCTTTTCTTTTTTCTTTTATACACAGAAAATGCTGTATCGGTTGTTTCTCACTTTATGCTTGCACTCAAATGTCATGTTTTCAAAAAAAACCCCCACATTTCTCTGATGTATGGACAGTGCATTTCATACACCAGACTTTTGCATACACAGCGGCTCATGGTAGTTTACACAGTGCGTAGAAAAGCCTCCAAACTTGGATGTGAAAATCTGAGCCTGAGATTTGGACAACCGTGATTAGGCTTTTGGAAAACAGGTTCATTGTCATAAATTTCAGTAACTTTTCATGAAGACAGTTCGAAAAAAAAATGTAGGAGTTGACTTTAAAAAGAAGTCAAATGGAAAAATGGGATCTTGGGCTTCTCATTTGCACTTGAAAAAGGAAGAGTGATCCCTCCGTCCTCACGGCCACTGTGAAGAAGACATTGCCCTTCTTTTGGGCTAAGTCACTTCAGATTGGATACTAGAAAAAGGATCTTACTTTTTGGGATGAACTCTGGTTATGTGACTGTAGGGATGTTGTGGAACAGTTTTTGAATGTGCTTTTTAAAGGCTAGTCAGAGATCTGGCAGGAGGGTCTTGATGTTGGTGAACTTGCATGGGAGGATATGGGTGACTTCCTGCAGCTGCTCCCAGGCATTCTTCTGTCTGTGTGTCTCTGGAAATGGGTACTCCTTGCATGGAGGGGTCTCTGAAAACAGGGAAAACATGTGACAATAAGGCTTCTGCAATTAGTTTACTATAACCATACTTAAGCAGAGCAAAAAGGGTTTCACGGAATTTAAAATGGGAAACAGGCGTAACCGTGAGTGAATTGCTGCACTAGTGCTTAAAAGTTGCCTTAAGCACAGTGTTAAATCTTTAGGCAAGTTATTAACCCCATATATCCTTCAGATTTCATTTGGTAAATTGGGGATTTCCACACCTCAAAAGACCACTACCTTAGGTGTTTGATTACATTTCATGAAATGCCTTAAGAGCTTTCAATGGAGGTGAGCGTGGGAGTGGAGTCAGTGCTGAGATCAGCGTTTCTGTCGCAAAACCTGGTAAAGTAGGTTCTGGTAAATAAAAATATTCTATTAAGGTTCAGTGTTGTGGACAATTCACTTCTATTGTAGTCTTCTCAAAACTTTTGATTTGCTGTTGTTTGGGGTTTTTTTAAGTTTTTCTCTTGATTATAGAGCTGCAAATATCTGTACTTATGGTAACCTTAACAGGAGCAGGATTGGACTCTGCTACATCTGTTTTCCTTCCCATCCATATCTGTTTTGTTTAGATGGTAATCTCTTTGGGAGAGCAATGGTCCCCTACTAGGACATTCTGCTGTGCCTAATCTGGATGCTACTCTTGCACAAAAGATAAACATAATGCAATGAATCTCACTGAAGGCAGATACTGATTGCTCAGGCACATGTGCAGAGTGGACAAGAGTTTCTTGACCTAAATGCAAGCCTGGTTAAAGTCAGAAACAATTTATTTTCTGCCATTTTTATATTTTTATAATACAATTCTTTTATTGGGATGTGGGTTTTTTCCCCCAGTCGCTAATCTATTCCTTAGTTTTCTTCCTTCTTCATCTTGCTTGTTCTTTTCTTCTTCCACCCTATTTAGAATGAGCATTGATGAAAATGAGCCCATTGAGTTTGCCTAACAATTTCTAACTCAGTGACTTACATTGTGTTTCACACTATGACTAGAAGTCAGACGTATCACTCAGTTGCACACTGGCAGAATAAACTGGCAGTACTATGTCATGAACAGGTAGTTCTTCTACCTTCACCACTGTATTTTCCAGTGGAGCAATACTGGTGGGCCAGCACAGGAAAAATGACAAGCGAGTTCACAAGTCTCATGACCTTATTCTTTCAGCTCATACTGGTAGCAGGTGCTTCATTGTAGATAATTTTAAAAGCATCCACACTGTGTTTAGGCAGAGACAAATGTGGAACACCTGTGCTACAGGCCACCTGAATAAAAGGTTGGAGCAGCTGATGACTGAAGGCTGATGATTTGTGCTTCCCCTTCACCACTTTGCATCTCCACAGGTGTGGCTGTAGGCAAGACTAGTTTTGAGAGCATGCCCAAGTCCAGCTTTACTGAGAGGCAGTGATCTGACAGACGATCATCATCTGTTTCCTTTCTTGTTTCAGTGCTGGCCGGTGCCACTTCGAATTTCAGAGACATGCAACCCACTATTGATTTTCTTTCCTATTTACGCTAGAAAAAATGTGTTGGATTGAAATAGTTATTTCTTGTTATTATAATTTTATCACTACTGGTTCTTTTTACCACAACACACAGGGCCCTTAGCTGTGATAAGTCTTGGATAATTTGTGAAAACTTTAACTTCTGTCTAACACTGGATTCCTGCAATCCTCTTGTGAAACTGCTAAGGGGATGGAAGCTCAAACACTTTTGTACTTCAGACATCCAAATGTGAATTAAACAGTGACACTTTTCCTCTTTCTTAGACTTGGTCTAAGAAAGCTTCTTGCAATAGGAACCTTCTTATGTGATTGTACAGTGCTATATGCTTGAGGATGCTTAATAAATAAATCTTTATTTCTGTACATGTATCAGCTAAGAAAATAGCAGTTCAGCAGTTCTGATAAAGATCTTTTAAAAAATTACAAATATAAGGGCAAAACTGTTTTTCCTGTTACTGGATAATAACTGGTTTTAAAAATCTGCATGCAGCAGTTGATGGTTTTCTCTTTCATTCTTCACAGAAAATGCAGGTTCTCTGAAAGTTCTCTTTGGGACACCTGAGTTTGTGGCTCCAGAAGTTATAAACTATGAACCTATTGGATATGAAACAGATATGTGGAGTATAGGAGTTATCTGCTACATTTTGTGAGTACCTTTGCTATTTTTAACACAAATTCTGACAGATGCTGAACGTACAAAATTTTCATCAGCTTCTGAAGTTTTCTCCAATTTTCAGGCCTTTTCTATTCTAATTACCAGCTCCGGCATGTTTAATAAAAGTTCTGTGTCCTCTGAAGGGTGCGATTGGTAAACTGCAGAACTGGCAGTTTAGGAAGTTCAGCCATTTAGTGTTGTACTTCTTACATCACAAACCGGCGACGCTTCATTTAAAAACACAATGCGACAGTATTTTATTATTAACTTTAAACTATTTTTCCCTTCCAGATATTAAAGAAAAATGTTTGGGCATGCACTAATAACCATTAATTTCCATTCTTTTATTACAAGAGAGAAAATTTTTGTGAAACTTTGGGGTCTCGTGGGACACACTTAAGTATCCCAGCGTTACCATATCTGTTCAGAGTGCATTTTAATTTATTACTAAACACAAACCACTGGATAAATACGTTTTATAAGCAGCATGAATTGAGCTTGTGGAAGCATTTTAGAGGACGGTTAGCTACAGCTCTTGTTTACATATTTCAGTATTAGATTTGATTTTTATATATGATTTGATAACACGTGCTTATGAACATCAATGAGTCTAGAGAAAAGTATATGGAAACAGCATCTCCATGCCTAGAACAGCACACTTGCTGTTCTTCCTCCCACTGTGACTGTACATATTTGATGCCATATAAACAAGTGTAAAGAAAAGCTCAGCTTGGAGCATAGTTCTTTCTTCCTCACTCCAGCTTCAGCAGTAAGTAAACAGAAGACCTGCTTTGCACTCATTCTTTTAAAAGGCTCCTCTCCATGCCCTTCTCCTTTAATAAAAGAGTCTCCACTGCCCTGGCTACCATGCTCCTTGACACCTGGCAATCCACAGTTGTTTGCCTCATCTTTCCTTGGTCTTTCTGCGTTCCTGCTTGCTTCAGGAGCCTGTACTTGTTCTCACACTCTTCTCATTTCCAAACTAAGCAACATAATTCCCTTACATGTCCTGTGCAAAAGCTACTACATCAACTCTCTCTTACTCCCAGCGAAGACTCTGAATATTTCTGTTATCTTCTGTTTCTTATGTGAAGTGTGCTACACTCTTCAAGGTCACTTTGTTCTGCCAGTTTATTTACAGGACTTTTATTTTCCATTCACTTCCAGCACTTCTTTCTAGATCTTGAAAGCTCGTTTGGATCATTCTGTAGTTCAAATAATGTAGACCACACAGGCAGCACTCGGAAGACAAATTAATGCATTTCTCTAGGTTTTGAGGTCTCCTGATCTGCAGGCTCCTGGAAGGCAGGATGGCGATTCCGGGCACATCCATGGAGCCCAGCACTCCCTCAGTGCTGCAGTGCCCTCTGGAGGCCTCCTGCACCCTGGGGAGGGGAGCTCTGGCCTCAGCCTTACCCGCCCTTTTGGGGAGTTCCGCGTCTTTTGCTGGCATTTGTTAATAAAGTGTGTGAAGAGCTTTTGTGTGTTCCCCGTACAGGCAGCGACAGACAAGCAAGGCACAAATCGGTGCTGGCAGTGGTGTGTTCCTAAGGCATGGAGCCAGGGCTGCTGCTCCTGTACAGTCCGTGCTGGGGAACACCGGCATCATCTAAGTAGACAAAGCAAAGGGAGCAGGTGAAACAGGTGGAGAAAAGGTGAAATGTCTTGCCAAACACTATGCCAGCACTGGCAGAACTGCTTCTTCCCAGTTTCTCTGTGCCACCAGAAGCAAGATATTTGGATGCTGTACCACCCAGCTGATGGGTTGGGGTGGTGTTACACTTGACGCAGCTGATCTGATATGCCTTGTGAAATATATTAAGAAATTACTTGTTTGCCGAGGTGTATTTAAGCTCACTTAACCGCTCATGAGGGGAAAACTACATTACTCAAACATAATGAAAATCTTTTTTTTCGATGCGTAGCTATTGCCACAATAGTGATTAGCAGTAATAATCAGCTTTTGTCTTTCTTGCCATAAGAATAATGTAATAGAAGTTAGGGAAGACCTGTGAGTCATCACTTGGACTTTCCCTCTCCACCCCAGAGTGACAGGTTCCTGATCTGTCTTAACTTTCTTAAAGCCCAGCTATTTTTACAGACTCAGAGCTATGAGCCATTATCTAAAATGGACCATCACATCATCATTGCAGAATGCAAATAAAAGTCATTGAGAACTGCATATCTCTTTACTTGTAGCTCTGCTTTCCTGTTTTGATTGTAAGCTCAGAACCGCCAAATCTCATGCACCAAGTGTAAGACTCACTCATTTATTGTCTGCCTCATGTTCCATCACTGTGCTTGTAACTTGGCATTTGCACCGTCTCTCCCTGCCATGGTGAGTGGGGCCATGAAGGCAGAGGCGAGTGCTGCAGCAGCACTGCACTCGAGGGCAGGTCTGCTACAGGCAGCTGATGGCCCAAGGCTGCTGTGTCCACCACCTGATCTAAGTGAAGCAGCAGGGAGCACCTACTGCATGACTTGATATAACATCTCTTTTAAGGTAGGATTCCAGAGTGCTGAGAGACCTGTAACCTGCCTAGAAAGTGCCTGTGTTTCCGTGATGTGCTGCACAACAGTGAATACAAACCAGGGTTAGCAAAGAAGGGCTAGAGAGATCTCTGAGTGAAGGGTCTTCCCTGCAGAAGAATAAAGAGGATGTAATCTTCAGTAGGAAGCAGGGTGACAGCACTTCTGACGAAACCCTGCAGCAAACCCCCTCTCCAGTCCCTCTGCTATGCAGGCATAACTACAGATATCACACTCCCTGTTGGGATCTGCATCTGTCTTCCTTATGGCATGACTGACTTAATTCCATCCTACAGTTCATGGGTTCCCTTTCCACATTTCTAAGCTATACATTAAATCCTTTAAATCTTCCTGGATAACTTATTCAGTCCTGTCTCTTCATCTGTCTTTGTTCTTCCTTAAATTTCCCTGTTTGTATTCTCCACTTTAAGTTTTTTTATATTCCACTTTTATCTTGTTCTCTGTCCTGTTCTGTATCACAGTACTGTCCCACATACTTAAGTTGATCTATTGCCTTAGAAATAACAGGCCACAAATATTATAGCTTCTGTATATCATCTCCATTTATGTCTATTTCAGAATTTCTTTTTGCATTTACATTAACCTTTATCTAATGAAGGTTAAACCTCCTGAATTCTTTCCAGCTCTTTCTGGAAAGAATTCATTCTTCTGGGCACTGCTGAATTTGCTTATTGGGTTTTTTTCTATTTCTAATTTTTTTCTGATGGATAGTAAGTGTTTTCAATATTTAGTAATCTGAAACAATTTCTAAATTCTATCTTTATTTCAAACCAATTTTCAGTCTAAGCTTTCAGCACTGCATGTACATACATTGAATGTGGATAGCCCTTTTCCTTCTGGCTCCACAGGATCTGATTAGTTTCAGGGAGGAATTGGCTGCGGCTGATTCAAACCTCTGCTTGCTTTCCAGTAGCTCTTCTCACTTTATCAGTGCCAGGCAGTGTATCTTTGCAGCATAGCTGATCTCTGTCAATTGATATTTTTTAATATACTGTATCTTAGGCTGTGTTTTAATATCACATTTGATCTTGCTGTACACTCTTCTCCTTCAGCACCTTCCTAATTGCACTCACCCTGATTCTTCAAACATTCATTCCCTTTCCTTTTTATCCATTGTGTTGTTCATCACTGCTGTTATTCCTGCCTTGTTTGGCAGTTCGGGTTGGTTGAAAGATCTTTCGGCATCGTTCATCTTTTGGGTGTGCTGACTTGGAACTTCAATAAGGCAAGACATAATACTGGCTTACACTCAACCCCATGTTGTATCAAAAATTTATGCCTCTTTAATATAAAACTGTAAGAACAGCTTTCCTTAAAGCAATTTAGGAAGGCCTTAATGTCAAGACGGTACTGCTCAAAAGAAAATGTTTTATTTGTTCCGTGGCAAATTGTGGTTCCTCAGTAATCCACTGGGCATGTGAAACAAGGATGAGAACAGCATAACACCCTTGCTTCAGCAGTGAGCTTTCTTCTTTTCATGGGTTAAGTGGTCTCTTCTCCTGGAGACAACCAGTGTGGGAGTCAGTCAGCGCTCAGCTAAGGAAAAAGTGGTGTTGTCCCATGGATGTGTGTTCCCCACAAAGTAGCCTGACACTATTTATTTGTTTTATTGCACTTGTAAAAGAATGAAATTACTACATGATCTCCAGGCTGCAGGCGTTATGTGCTTATTTGACGTGCCATGCACAGGTTTATCAGAAGCAGGTACTACTTTCCATACTGAGATGGGTTACTTTTTTTTGCACTGCTAATGCAAGGCAAGGACTGTGAGGAGGAGCTCATTGCCAGCAGTCCCAGTCAGCTGCTGCTGCAAGCTCTGCCTGCAGAGTAACGCTCAGAGTCTGACATTTTGGGACAAGCAGCAAAGTCATCTTCCCTGGATTAGTGGGAATCTTAATGCAAAGATCTCCAGTTGAAATGCCGTGGTGTTTGTTACACAGGCACAGAGACTGGTGTCCACACTGGACCCTTTTGATCTTAACATTTCTAAGTCTGCACTCGGAGCTTTGTTACAACAGACCAATAAACGTTAAGGAACTTCTACAGGATAAAATATATTTCTTCTTTATTTAGAAGTGGAAACTCTGAAAGATTTTCTAAACAAATAGTTATTAACATGCCAGGAAGATGCCTGGTTGAGTGGCTGGAAGAATGTTTTCAGTAAACAACCTGCTGCTTGTCTAACAGTAACTTCACAGTGTAAGCACAGAGTTAATTTTCTAGCGCAGTAGCTCATCTTTATCACTTAAGCATTCCAAAAAGAAATTGTTTCCATTAACTGTCAAAAGAGTTGCTGGGCCATTATTACTTTAAATGGCTATTAAGAAATGAACAACCAAAACTTCAGTCAGTGAAATCTCTGCTAAAGATAAGAATTTCTGGTTGTAATTACACTAGTTGCTGGATATTGTTTTCTGACTGTGGACAAGGATCTAGTTCTCCTTAGAAGTATTTCCACAACAATGCAACTGATTCAGAGTGGAAAACTGTAGTAGACAGAGAAAGTTATTTTAGCCTTATAAATTTTCAACAGCACGTTCAGAAAATAGGTTCATTGAAACATTTGAATGGGAACTGTTACACTGGTGTTTGGAAATGACAAAGTGAATGGAGGCTTAACTGCTAACCACCTAGTCATTTACCAAATGCAATCCTACCACAGCATTTAAGATTTTATCAGATAATTCTGTCATGCAGTTCTAAAATAAGTGAAAAAAAAACCCAAAAACAAAAACAACCAAACAAAAAAATTACAAATAATTAAAGAACTTTAAACTGTGTGTGACATGCAGTATTCCTTTGCCCAGAAATTTAGATTGTCTTTATAAGCATTGCCTCTTATGGCAATGTGGAGCAGTGGTGTTCCCACATGAAGCAGTGTCTCTGTACCTATAGCAGTCTTTTTAGCATGCAAATGATCTCTCAATAATGCATCTTTAATCTCTGGAAGTAGGCCAAATATTGTCTAATGTAGCACAAGAGCTGCAACAACACTATTTGTGGTAATACTACGCAAAGGTCACCTTTGCCATACTTCAATCAAGTATTGAAGGGAAATGGGATTGTTATTGCTCTGGCTGCCCAAGTGTGTCCTCTGGAAGCTTAACTGGATGCAGACGTGCATCTCCTCTATTGTCAGTGAACTAAAAAAATACTTCACAGACCTGTCATTGTCTAAGCCACTGAATTGGCTGAGAGATTATTGTACTTACTACAAAGTCAAAAAAGAGACAACTTTGCACTGAAATCAGAAGTGCAGTCTGCATGAGATTTTTTGCACTTTCTAAAAATGTTATGGACAAAAATGACATTGCCATAAATAAGAAAATGCTTATCTCTTGGAGTGGAGGTAGGTTTAAGGCCCCGCAGGAACGCTTTGTGGATTCCAGGACAGAGATTTCGATTGCTGGCTGTGAGGGCAGAGCAGAGCCTCTCACTGCACCACAGCTGTGCCAGCTCTGCAGTGCTGTCAGACACAAACCTTCCCTCTTCCAGTAAAGTAAGTGTCAAACACAGAGAACAGTCATGGTAAAGTTAGTTTATATGAGCATTTTTTGCATGTCAGTCTTTCAGCTTTCAGTAACTTGTGACTGTTATATCTTCATAAATAGGTTTATGCCACCTTACACATTTACAAAATCATGCTTCACTGTTGCATTTGAATGCACCCCATATAATGGAAAGTAAGATACCAAATACATTCTGTTCTGATTTACCTTGTTCTGCCTGAGAATAAACAAACCTTTTATCTTCATCTCATGTATTATTACTAACAAGTTTCTGAAGTATACACATAAGATTCTGGAGTCTGCTGTACTGCACACAACTTCCAGAAATGGTAAAAGATTTAGTATCTGCTCTGTCTGAGACTTCAAAGAGTGTGTGTTTCTGCTTTGCTTATAGAAATAAAATCCTTAGGAACAAATTCCAAATCAGATTTTGAATGTAATTAGAGGCAAAAAAAGGAAGAAAAATAACTTTGAAGGGGGAGATCATTCTATATTATTAATCTTATAGCTCACTTTATTTGACCCCAGTCTTTTTTTCTACCAGTCTGTTCTGTGATATTCAGTGGCATCACAGTATTCATATAGTATGATATCTATATAGTATTCTCAGAACCCTAATAAGTTAGAGTTATTTTTCCATATTTAAAAGAAATTATTGTTGAAATGTAACTGGTTGTTTTAATTGGTTAACACAATTGTACAGAGAAAGCAAATAAAGTCTGTAAAATTTCATGGAGAATAGATTATTCAGTAAATTGTGTGCCAGGAAGACCAGAAAAACCGATTAACTTGTAGTTCTAAGGAATAAGCAACCTTTCACCTGAAAGTTTTTACTGAAACTGCGATATAGAGGCATCAAAGGTATCCAGATTCACAAAGGCATAGTATAATAAAGGATAATGCTCCACTGGAGAAAAATACTCTGCAAAAATGACACCATGATGTTCTGTAATTGCCTTTCACCGACAATTTATCAGTTATGTTGAGTAAAAAGCCTTGGAAGCTCAAGTAGGTGATAGGAGAGCATTATTTCCATTTCATGCATCATCATGATTGACTGAGAACATAAAGACCAAATTACTTTTGGATGCATCTGCATAACTCCACAGCCTGCAGTGATGTAGCACTGTTTTATCTGTCTATATAATTCAGGGTGGGTTTGTTTACAAAATAGCCCTGTGGATTTCATGATTTCATTGTGCATCTTTCTTCTTGGGCTCTCTCTGCAGGAGTCAATGGAACAAAATGTACAAAAAAACGTTGGTTTGACAGTAATGACAGCAAAGTCACTCTGAAACTAGATGATATCCAGAGGTCCCTTCCACCCTAATAATTCTGTAATTCTGCGGAAGTGCCAGGAAAGAAAAAAAAAAAAGATATTCAACTGAATTTGATGTGAAAGTTCCAGGATTACTTATGTAGGACTAGACAAGTCATTTAACAAAATAGTATGCTCCAATTTCACCTAATTCTAGTTCTCCTCAAAAATGTCTTGGGGAAAAGAGAAACAAGAAAAATGTGCCTTTCAGTTTTGCTGACAAAATTCTAGTTTCCTTCCCATAAGACTAGTTAGCTTTGAGTCCTTCTCTTTTTTTTTTTTGTTACGTTTTTAAAGGGAGCTTTTATTGATATTCATAAGAGCTGCTGAGTATAGGAGATGTCACACCATTTTAACTCACTCCTGCAATAATTCGCAAATTGACACGGCTAGTTTTGTACCTGTCTGTCTGTCTGTTCTACCCCCAGGGTCAGCGGGCTTTCTCCTTTCATGGGTGACAACGACAATGAAACCCTCGCCAATGTCACCTCAGCAACGTGGGACTTCGATGATGAGGCTTTTGATGAAATCTCTGACGATGCCAAGGACTTTATCAGCAATCTGCTAAAGAAAGACATGAAGTAAAGCTGCTGGACTTGATACACTTTCTGTGTTTGCATTTAGCTGAGCTTGTCGCCCGTGTTTCCCCACTGTGAATCTCCACATGGCCGCAGCACCTCTGGCGATACTTTATAAGGAGCTCTGCGTGCCCGCCTGTCTGTGCGTGCAGTGCTCGCTTGTTTTACCGCAGGGAGCAGGGGCTGAATGGAGCACCTGCTTTCAATCGCCGGCTCGTAGCTCTTCCCTTGCCTCGGGCAAGATGCACCCTGAGGTTTTGTGTGGCCACCCCGATCTCCTCTGTTTCGTGACACAGATTCCTGCATGACGTGTCCTGTCTCGATCTGAATGGGCTGCCATTTTTTGCCATGTGTTGCTTCTAAGTGTGGTACCTCTAAGTAGGCAGCTTTCCTATAAATGCAGTAATTGGGCGAGAAAAAAAAAAAATCAGAGTTGGAAGCCCTATTTGCAGTAGTGCCTGAACAGAGCAAGGAAAGGAAACATACTTCTTCCAGAGAGTTAGCAATTGGATGGATGGAGAACAGAGGGTTATTTATCTGTGCCCTTGAGCAAAGTGAAGAATGGGTGTGACTTGAGAGATTTGGACATTTCTGGTTTTTTAGATATTCGGGATGGTGTTAAGTGGTGGGACAGAGAAATCTCTGTAAGTGAAGGAAAGAAGATCTGGGATGGAGTTCTGCCAGCACAAAGTAGCTGAATCACTGACACTGTGGCTCTGCTCTATGTGTTCCACGCCTAAAACATATGGCTTTTCCTGCTCTGTTTTATAATGTTTTATTAACAGTTAAAATTGCACACTTTTCTCTCAAAAATATCTACAGAAATTATGAAAGTGAGTTTAAGAAGTAAGCAGGGCTGGGAAAGCAGGGCCATGTGATTTACGTTGCTAAATTTAGGAAACAGAAAAATCAGCTCCCAGAAAAAAGAGCACAAAACAATGTTACAGCAGGTAGGTTCACCTCTTGTTACTGGCAACACTGACAGGTCTTTTTATGTAAAAACAGGAGTCGCTTCAATTGTACTCAATGTCTTCAGCATCCCTGGCTGCAAAAAGACACCAAAAACATGGAAGCCAAAAAACTTTCCAAAGATAGGATGAAGAAATATATGGCCAGAAGAAAATGGCAGGTAATGAAGAGGACATGGAATCGGGCTCAATATCTTAATATCTCTCTTTATTTTTAATGTTTTTGATTCAGAGAAACACATCACGTCAGGTGGTTTCTGATGCTGGTGAAAGCTCTGGTGTGGCCAGAGTGTGAATGCAGGACAGTGGGTTTGGTTTCTGCATCGAGCAGTAGGAGGGTGCACAGCTGCACATACATTGCACACGGTGATTCCATTTCAGGCTGCTAAAAGGCATATCAGTTCAAGTATAGTTTTTCCTACTCTTTTTGGGGTATGCCCATCTCTCTTCCCTTCCCTCCCCTCTCCATGCCACTGAGGAATGGGGGGTTATGTGGTCCTTAACAAAGCTGAACAGTTCAGGTAAAATTTATCCACCTGGCCTCTGAAAAGACACTTTATTTTGTGGTAGTTTTATGCTACTGAGCCAGTAGTTCTGTCCTGTTGGAGCCTCAAGCTTCTCATGGATTTGGTCATATTGGTTTAATAATTTTCTTTGACCTATTTGGTCTTCATATCTTCATTTTTCTTAATGCTGGGACTGTTGTAGCAGGTCCATCTGTGCTGCTATCCATCTGATAGCTAGAGGAGCTGCTGTGTGAAATCTTGCATCCAGCCTACAAAATATTAATTTATATAAATCTACCTTATATTTCCTTTTATGTTCTACTGTACATGTTTCTTGGAGCTCATGCAAGCTGTACAGAAATACAAGTGTCCATACTAAAGCCAGCATAGTTTGAGCATATTTTAGTATGCTGGTGGTTGGTCCTCGATCCTGTCAGAGGTGTGCTTCCATCATGCAGATGGTACTTTCTCATTCATTCCATATTAGCTCGTTATTCTTCTTTGATGAAGCTCAGTCCAGCCCATATGGCTGTGGAGAGAGCCGTCCCCCACCAGAGTTCAGTTCCAGTTTAACAGGACATAGCTCTCTTGCTGGCCCTCCTCTCGCACAGCGCTTTTTATCCGCAGCTAACAGAGACATTCATTTAGGTATGAGTTCATCAGGGGAAGTTTATATCTGCAACTAAATTTGGTAATTCAGTCCAGCCTGCTCTGTCTCTCCTAAAACAACAGAGCTATATATAAGCAGTTTGTCCAACAATTCCAGTGAGGTTTGCAGAGATCCCAGATAATTTGTCCGAAGCACGATTGTTGCAGAAAATCACATGCCTGTTGGACTGGATTGATCAGAAGCCTTTTATGTTATGTCTTAGAAAACAGGCCATGCTGTCCGAGCAATAGGAAGACTGTCATCCATGGCAATGATTTCTGGTATGAGTGGGAGGAAGGCCTCTGGGAGCTCGCCTACCAGCCCTATAAATGCAGACAAAGCAGAGAACGAAGGTAAGGAATTTTTCTGCACCATATTTTTATGTCTCTCTGAATCAATCTTACTGAAACTTTTAGCAAAATGCTAGAGACCAATCACTGAGTTGGATATTCCTGCTTGCTCTCTCACTGTCTCTCTCTCTCTCTGTTTTTATCTTCCTATTTTTTAAAGAAATCTTTCAAAAATTAATTGTACTTATATTGTTCTGCTACTCAAAATGTCCCAGCATAAGTACAGGCAGTAAACTCTTCTCTTTTTAAAGTCAAAGAATTAAGGCAGTTTGTCAGCTGCACTTTCTCTGAGTTTGGGAATGCATGTTTATACAAAGACGACAGTGATGTATTGCCTTCTCATGCAAGCGAGCAAGCAATAAAGTATTAACACTTGCTGTAACCAAGACACATACCCTGCATTAACCATGCTCCTCAGATGGGGCATTTAGGGAAAAAAATAATGTGTCTGCATTATTCCCCTACATCCCCAGCTAAGATGTGGATTTGTGGTTTGTAACAATCAGAGGTGCAAATGTTTCACACTGCTGAGAATCAAGCCAGTAATTTTGACAAATCCACACAGACTGTGGGCCTGATACAAGTGGAGCTGGTTTATTCCCCTGAGTAGCAAAAGCCCAGGTTTGGTTAGAAAGAAATTCAAGGAAAAAATACTGACGATGCGTAGCATGGTGGCCTGCAAGTCAACTTCTTTCTATTTATGGCCTGAATCTTTGTCCAGCTGCAAAAGACTGGCACAAAACTAAGCAGCCAAAGTCCTCGCTGTCCCGATTGTCTTACAGAATTAAGTGAAATAAAAGATGCTTTAATTACCATCTGGTAATTAAAAATTAAACTGCATCTTTTGAGAACATGCCCTGTAAAATTGTTAACTACCTCTTCTTCTCTCTCCTGCAGATGCTTTCCTTGAAGAAGTGGCTGAAGAAAAGCCCCACGTAAAGCCATATTTTACTAAAAAAATCCTTGACTTGGAGGTTGTGGAAGGAAGTGCTGCTAGATTTGACTGCAAAATTGAAGGTACTTTTAATAAGCATGTCTGTTTCTTTGTTTCCTTCCTTGCCAGTTTTCTGCATTGAGCAGTTTGACTTTTTCAGGGTTTTTTTCTGTATTGTTGTTGGGTTGGTGCCATTTTTCTTTACCAATATCTGCCTATCACAGCATGAATGTGTTGCAATAACAGAAATTATCTGGAGCTGCCTGAACTTGTTCTGTGCTTGCCATAGAACAGAAATCTACAAGAGTCAGTGTGTGAATCACTAATTCAGAATAGCAACTGGGAACTGTCATATGATTTTTGAGGGTAGAAACAGTAAAAACAAGATGCAACATATTTCCATAAATTGAAAGAGTATACTCTTAGAGACTGCTAAGCAGAGAGCAAGAATTAGTAGGAGGTCACTTCTCTGAAATGACAGACAAATTTCAGGTGGCCTCAAGATAACTTTAAGCCATACATACATTGTATTAAAAGCAAAGAAGTCCCTAACAGCATATATGCTTGAAAAGTAATATTAATATCATTGCTCTGGTTACATAAGTCACATCTAGAAAATACTGTATTGTTGTTTGGGTTTTTTTTTTTTAAATTTATGAGTTTGAGAAAGAAAACTCAGACAGGAATATGCAGACAGAAAGCATAAGCTTATAAGAAGGCACTTAGGGAGCACGGGCGTGGTCAGCCCAGCAGTCTGAAAGCCAAGACCACTTGCACTTCTATTGCAATGAGATTGAAGCTTCTGTATCTCAGCTGTGGATGAAAACTAGAAATTAGGAGAGAAGAGCTGTGAAAACAGAAGAGATAGAGTCAGTACCATACTGCATGTGTTCAAGTTAATTTATGATGTTAAAATGAGGTTCAGAAACTGCCTCACTGACCTTCTGCTTGTTTGTTTCTGTGCTCCCAATCTCTTTCACTGCCTATGTTTCCTACCTCACAGTGGAGATGTGAGGATGGATTATTATTGCTGATGGATGCTCAGCGTGAGGGGTATGTGCACAAGTACTGCATGGAATAAAACAGATGGATGTACCAGAGCTGATGTTCCAAACTTTCCAGTGTATTGCTGTAATGTTCATTGTGTATTAAGGATTGCTGCACTTTATTTCTGCTCAGTGGGAAGTTATTCTCCCATCACAGTCCAGAACTTGGCTGAGACAGCAAACCTTGAATTTGTTATAGCAGCCAAGAGTACTGTATAAGGGATTGTTCTCCAGCAGGCATTGTACAGCCCTGCTCTGGAGGCTTTGCAGAGCCATTTGCTTCACAAAGGCTCCAAAACTCCTGTTGAGATGCATAATCAAAATGTTTTTCTGAGGCTCCCTGGCTTATCCTAACAAACACAGAGAGAAAATGGGAGTGCCATGTACAGGACAGGCTGGCTTGTAAGGAGCAGATTAGGAGGAGGAAGATTTAGAATAGCCATGGCAAAGCAACCCGAGAAAGATATTAAATTGTAGTTGTAAGCCAAAACAGCTTTACCCTTGAAATTCTAAATCTTGATGTTGGGAACTGTGGTTTCCAGAAAAGCTGCAGTGTAAGGTGAGCCTCAAATACACTGTCAGGAGTCCCTCGCTGGCTGCTGGATGCGACACATAAAAAGGTGTCTGCTGGCACTGCTAAAGGAGTGGAAAGAGGAATCCAGCGAGTACCACAGTGCTCACTTGCAATTTTGGTTATTCATAATAAGGTTGTTTCAGGTAAATGGGAAGGAAAAAAGCCTTGCATCATCTACATCTATTTTACATAGAATTCAATAAAATATTTGTCTATCAACATGTTGGCACGTCCATACACAGAGAGGGAATTAGAGTGTAAAGGAATTAAGGATGAGTTAATATTCGTTTATTGCAGTTGCTGTTCTCTCTCTGCTCTTGCAGGATATCCTGACCCTGAGGTAATGTGGTACAAGGATGATCAGCCTGTCAAGGAGTCCCGTCACTTCCAGATAGATTATGATGAGGAAGGGAACTGTTCTTTGACTATTTCTGAAGTATGTGGGGACGATGATGCCAAATACACCTGCAAAGCTGTTAACAGCCTTGGGGAAGCCACGTGCACTGCAGAGCTCCTTGTGGAAACAATGGGAAAAGAAGGAGAAGGAGAAGAAGAAGATGAGGAGGAGGAAGAATGAAACAAGGCTAAAAAAAAAAAAAAAGAAAGAAAAAATATATTTAAAGACTCTCCTTATAAGGCTCAGAAAACCAAGTTATCAAAAGCACCTTGTGTGATACGTAGGTCTTTGGGGGAATGTTATTTCAGCATGATCAGTTGATACCTGTTTGCTTTACCTGTGGGCATTAATTCAAATCAGCAGGCACTTTTAAGTTGCCAGCATGATTGGATTGACTTTAAGCAAATCATCAACTAAGTTGCCCAGTCAATTTTTAAAATCAAAATATGGAAAACAAGACTACATTTATATTCTGAACATCTTAAAGAAAACTAGTCTATTTACTGAGCTCATTGCTCTGCATTATCACTTTCCTCAGCCAAAACTCCAGCTAAGTTGGCTCCCCAATATATACTTTACAAGGAATCATTGGCCAGACATGCAGTGAATCTCTCCAGTCCTAAGGAATAGGGTGCTCCCTGAGCTGTGTCTTCTATAAGGGAAGGTTTGACACAGACAGCATTGCGATTTGTATGTTGGCATGGTTCACTTTTCATTTGCTTTAAGCAGAATCTCACAGTCCTCCTAACTTCAAACACATTTGCTGCCCTTTGTCAGTGTGCTGTTAGTGCTGTTGTAATACTGGCAAACATTAAACATCCAGGTGGTTTCCCAAGATACTCCTGATCTTGCTTTTAGCCAACTGATCACACTTTGTCATCTTTCCCTTATGGAGCCTGTCACTTCCACGCAGTTACAGTTGCCTGTTTAAGAAACAGACTGAAAACATAAAGACTGAGAATATTTTCTGTGTTTCTGGTCAGTCTAATAACGATTCATATATATGCTGCTGTGAAAAAAACAGGTTATTGCACAATCAGTGACTTCTCTGTGCATGTGTGTGAATGGAATCACAAGTTAGTTAAAGTTTTACTTGCATATATTTAGAAATTGCAAAACAGATTTCAACTGATGATAAGCTGGAAACTCCCACAGATTTTTGGAGTAGCCAAAAAGATAGTAGCCTGGATTACAAACTCGTCTATACTTAGCAGTTTCCAAAGAATCTTAACCTATATAGGACCTATTTCTACCTTATGAGCTTGACTGTCTTGTTTTTGTCTTGAACCTGCACCAGTAAGGCTGTTGCGTTTTTTAAAGGCGCAAAAAAACAAAACCAAAAAAAAATCCAACTCCCTTTTTTTTTTTCTCAGAAATTGTTAATGCACTCAGACTTAGTAACTTTGCTTTCCTTTCACAGTATTGGCACTTTTTAATTTTTTTTGTTGTTGTTCAGAGGTAATATCAGAGGCTGCAAGGTGATATGCACAATCCAAAACCAGTGTGTCTTATATCTATGTATCATTCCAAAAGTGATTATTTTTCTTTTCCACTTTTTGTGTGTAAAGCACAACCATTTGCATTTCAAAGGTTACCTCTTTTAAAAAAAATCATTACCTTAAATCCTCACCATTAAGTAGTCAGTGTACTTTAATACAGGTGTGTACATTATCAACCTTAGGTTGTTTGATATTACCTAGTTGTGTATGTGTTTCATATGATTTGCTCTTCTACATTCAAAGCTCAGTTAATGTGGATGACACGATGGTTTTTAACTGCTTTACTCTTTGTTGCTAAGTTCAGATTGCCAGCATGTCTTTTCCTTTTCGATTGATGAAAACCTCTTGTTATACTAAACACAGTATTGCCACAATTCCTTATACAGAAAGGTTGTGAATCTGATTTAGAGCATACAGAGCTTTCCTCACGTTTGTTTTTTTTTAAATGTTTTAGGCAACAATGGGGTGTATTTTGTACCTTAATAAAAATATGCTAATGATCTCTCTATTTGTTAAACCATCAGAATTGCAAAGATGAGACTGCTACAGCTGTAGTTACTCACGGTTCCTAAATAAATACTACCACAAAGCACGCTCCTCGTATACTCTGTTGCAGGCGTTACCGCGCTCACCTTGGCTACCGTCTCCTCCTGCTCTGCCCTGAGAGCTGCTGGGCACACAAATGGATGAGGTGGTAACAGTGAAGCCTCCCTGACCTCTGTGGTGCTGCTGCACTTCTCCTGCCCTGTCAGTGCAGGCTGGTGCTGTGCAGAGGCTGCTCTGCCCCCCAGGTACAGCCTGGGGCTGGCACTCGTAGCCATGTGCTCTGCACATCTCCAGCCTCATCGCATCCCTCATCACACACAGAACGATCAGCAGTGGGAACGTGGATGGGGCACCATGACAGCTGTGGGTTTGTTTTACAGCTGAGAATTCCCTTAAGGTGGGGAAACGTAGATCTGAAAGAGTGTAAGAACAAGAGAGAAAAAACTGAGGGAAGTCTCATTGTAGATGTGGACTTACACCAATGTTCCTAAAAGCTGTAAAGATGAAGATAAAGGCAAATCTGCTTGTGCTGCTTTTATGCAGACTTTTTCTCATGTGCAGTCCTAGACACTACGGACCCTGCAGGACCACACAGAAACTCCCTAAAGCAAAGACTGTGAAGCACCCTGCTTGTACCAATATGTTTCTGAGCAAATCTTCAGCCCTTCAGTCATCTTTGCAAGATGCGCCTCAGTCTTGTGAATGTACCGACTTTATACAGTGACTGCTGATTTCTGTCCAGGTAGGCACATGCATGAACCAGGAAAAGGTGTGGCTCTGATGGGCTGCTCTGTGGGTAAAGCAAGGTCTGTGGGTACATGTACTGGGTATCAAAACCCACAGACTCAGTATTGGTGTTCCTGCACAGATTTTCCTTTCCCTCTCATACTTTACTAGTCCTTTTGGGTTCCACAACCTATAAATTGCCTGTTTTTCTTTTGCCCCAAGGATATCCCAAGGAGCTTACCATCTCCCTGTTCCTTCCTATTAACATCCATTCTAGTCTGCAGGAAATAATGACTTCTACTTCAAAAATTAGATGATACGCATCTAATTCAGATCTGAGCAATTGATTCCAACCTGTATTTGACCTTGAATTTTTTTGTTTTGTTTGAACAACAGAATTCTATTTCCACTGAAGAAAGATATTTTATATACTTGAAACCTGTCTCATTTTTCCAGCCATCCTAATTGGCCTAATAAAAGGCATAACCTCTTTCTATAAACCTTGTCTTTCTTGTATAATGTTTGCAGAAAGCCACTCTTGGGGGCTCATAGAGTTGAAATTATCCCCAGTATCAGAGGTATGCAAGACACTGGTACTGCCCAAGATAGACCATTTAATTCTATTTCTTTTGTATAACATTCAGTCTTCTCAAGTAACATGGACAATTTGGGACCGGCTGCTGTTTTTCAGTACTTGTGTTTCTGGATTTACAGAAACTTAATTTACTGAATGACTGGCCTGTCCAACCACCCAAGCATCCTGTGCATATTTCTGGTTGATGGAAGACACCTTTGCTACTTGCATGTGTGCCATGCAGACTGCTGGATTGCTGCTTCCCTTTATTCACAAGGAAGACAGCACCAAACTTCACAGCCCTCTCCTCTGCAGTGACTGTCAGGCTTTGAAAAGGTTGATTTTTTTTTCTTTAGTTGCATACATGAATAATGAATGATTTGCTACTCTAAAATTTATTTATTGAAACATTGCACTAAAACATTGGTGTTTGAAAATGGAATTCTCATCAATCATCTTTGCACTTTGAGCCCTCCTGCCTGCAAGAGACATAATGCCATGACTTTATTAGGCCACATAAATACTCATGTATTGCTGGGATGGGAAGTGAGGCTTATGTTGTTATTCTGCTGCTCATAAAGGGACTGCACCATGACATGCATGGGAAATAAACCGAGAATTGTTTATGGAAGTCGAGAAGTAACCCCAGAGAGTGTTTACAATTTCTGTAAGGGAAAAAAAAATAAAAATTCTTCCATTATAGCTCTCCAGAAAGGCAGTTCTGTCTGCCCCAAGAAGAATGCTTAAATGTGTGTTGCTGGGAAAGTTAACGCTCTGCAGGCTTTGCTCTTGTGTGGAACTTCAGCAGGAAATGAGTTACAGCCAGAACTGCGCGCAGCAGCTTATTCACAGACAGAACCACAGAATTGTTCAGGTTGGAAAGACCTCTGCAGATCATCCAGTCCATCCCACCTGCCAAGGCAGGGTCACCTAGAGCAGGATACGCCAGAATGTGTGCAGGTGGGTTTGGAATGTCTCCAGAGAGGCAGACTCCACGCCCTCCCTGGGCAGCCTGTTCCAGAGCTCTGCCACCATGAAGAAATTTTTCCTCATGTTGAGGTGAAACTTCTTGTGTTTTGGTTTATGGCCATTGCTCCGTATCCTGTCGCTGGGCACCACCGAAAAGAGCCTGGCAACCATCCTCTTGGCGCCCACCTTTGACACATTTATATGCATTAACGACATCCCTTCTCAGTCCTCTCCTCTCTAGACTAAACCATAAGAGTGATGAAAACCTGATAAATATTCCAAAAATAACCCGACCGTGACAACTAACGCTACTGATGCCTCTAAGGACACGGCAGACCTATTTCTCCCTGAAGCGGGGCATTTTGAGCGGTCCCTAGAAAGCGACCACACAGGTCGCTGATCCCCGGACGGGAATCATCACCCAGTGGGCTTCCCGGGAAGGCGGCCCCGCCGCGCCCGGCTCGGGGGCACCCGTTTCCTGCTGGACCCGTGTCCCGCGGACAACTGCCCTTCCCCGCGGACCGCTGCCCTTCCCCGCGGACCGCTGCCCTTCCCCGCGGACCGCTGCCCTTCCCCACGGACCGCTGCCTTCCCCCGTGGACCACTGCCCTTCCCCGCGGACCGCTGCCATTCCCGGCGGCTGCGCGGAGCGCCCCGGCACGGCGGGAAGTCCCGCCCCGCGGTGGCGCCGGGAGCGGGCGGAGCCGCGGGAGCCGCGACATGGCGGCGGCCGGGTGCGGCGGGAGCCGGGCGGACAACGGGTACGGCGGGCAGCAGGCGCGGCGCAGGAAGGGCCCCGGCGCGCTGGCCACGGGCTACCTCGTTATCTACAACGTGGTGATGACGGCGGGGTAAGGACCGTGCGGGGCCGCCCTCGCGGGGTGTCCCGGCTGGGGCCGCCGCTCGGGGCGCGGGGCTGAGCTCGGCCGGGCTGCGGCCGCGTGTGGGGCCGGCAGGGCAGGGCAGGTCCCCCGCGCCGCGGGGAGCGGGTCCAGGCAGGGGAATGGGGCCTGTCCAGCCGCCGTGCCCGCTCTCCTGCCCGTGCCGCCCTCCCCGGAGCCCGTGCGGCGGCACCGCCCGGGTGCGGACGCGTGGTTGTGCCCCGTGTGCCCCGCGCTGTCGGTGGTCCCGCCTCGCACTTTGGGTGACGCTGAAAACTACCGCCGAACCCTCTCTCGCTGCTCCTGCTGCTAGAGGGGGGCTCCCGTAGGCACACGCACAGCTGCCGTCCCGCTGTCCCGTCTCTCCCCATCCCACACGGACAGTAATCCCAGCTGGCTGCCCGGGTGTCCCCCGGGCCTGCCCCTGGAGCGGCCCCTGCCCAGCCTGTGCGAGGCCTCGGCAGCTCCTGGCCAGGTGTGACCCCGCTCAGCGCTGTCCGACCCCCTCCGCAGCTCGTCCTCTTTCTTATGCCCCTTCCTAAACCAGGTATGTGGAACAGCACAAGTGCGTGTTCTTTGGGAACTGCCCTGTTTTATAATTGACACCCTAATTTGCTCTGTGATAATATTCGCATCCAGGAGACCATAGATTGCTGTTCCCACATCACCACATTTGTGGTGTGGACTCCACCGCTTTTGAGTTGAGAGATGAACCTAAACACAGGGAATTTATCCACAGCAGTAGTTAAGAAGGCAAAGCCCTTGAGCCCTGTGAGATTTCCCCATGAACCCTTCAGCTGCTCCATAATTTGAGGTTGAAATCTGCTGCTTGCAACATGTGAGCTCCTTGGCCAGCTTGGTGCTCTGCCCTCCCCTACCTGGCACAGCAGAGGCTGGGGCTCGTTGGTGCTTGTACAGGTGTGTTCTTGGGCACAAAAATAAAAACAGTGACAACTGGGGACTCTCGAGCTAAAGGAGACTACTCCTTTTTTTTTTTTTTTAAGTGGCAGTGGTGTCTTATTGGAATCCAGATAAAAATAAAGCCATCTTTTCAAAGATTAAGGATATTTGGGTGGGAGGAGAAAGGAGCCTTTAAAATGGATCCCAAATGAGCCTGTTTTCTGCTGGACAAATCCTAGCAAATGAGAAGTTAAGCAAACAGACTAGTCTCACTGTTTTGGGGAAAGGTTAGCGTAGAATTAATATAGATTCAATTTACTGTAATAAGGCAACTGGACATGATGATTCTTGTCTTTGCTGGTGGCAGCTAGTGCTGTTTCAGCTTACAAGGTAGGTACACTTGTGTGGAGCAAAGGTAGCTGAGCTGGAAGAGCTCAGTTCTTGTGAAGTGTTTGTTACACCCATTACCCAATATCCATGTTTCTGTGAAGTGCTATTGCTAAGCAGGTTTATGGCTTCATATGATATTTACAGGGTATTTCACCCACAGGGGCATAATAATTACCCACCAGCTTGATTTAAGTGAATTCCTTCTTTCAGAAATACTTAATTACATGAGTAGTACAACACAGTAGGGGCGGTCAGTCAGTCTTTTCAGTTTCGTTGTGGTGACCCCGCACAATGTTAACAAGTTCACCTCTCTGAACTCTTCTTAGAAGTAAAAGCATTTACCTGCTGATTTTGCTGCCCACTTAAGTTTATAAAAGATCTCAAAAATCCGAGAGAGAAGCTGAGGTATAAATAGAAAGTTTCTTTAGAGGTCATGAACTTTTTATAATGTCAGGCAAGCTCCTGAGCATGGGAAATTTCTCTTTCTTTAGAAGAAAAAATTCAAACAAATTCAACTGTTAGATACTCAGAAATAAATAGCACAAATCTGTACTTAGCTTCCTGTTGTCATGTAAATTCCTGATTTATACCAAACCTCCTAGAAAATGTCAATCTTGGGTGGGATGTGGCTTATGGTGCTTAAACATGAGCTGCTTTTTTCTGGGCAAGTTTGTGATTAGATGATTTCTGGAATTTGGGGAGCTACCCTAGGAGTTTGTATCTCTGCATTGTCTCTCACTGCCCTTCTTTTGGGGTAGGTCACTGGGAGCTCTTGACTGATAATTTGTATTACAATGGATGAGGATTTTGTGCTTCCCCTGGACACTGCTGAAATTCCACAATATACAACGTTGAGCTTAGGAAAAAGTTAGTTTCTTCTTATTATGAAGTCTTTTAAAAAGATATTTTTTTAGGAGTTGGTTGACAGAAGTTCAGTTGTTCAGATGAAAAGATTGACATACTGCTGGTGGCATAAATTAGTTACTGACCCTGTGTCAATCAGTGCTCACACTTATTTTCTTAAACTGCACTGCCTTGGAAGGAGAATTGTGAAAACAAAACACCAAAAAATTGAAGGTGCCCAGATGATGAAGTGATGCTGTAAAAGCACAAGGGATTTTCATAAGTGGTTTGTTTTGTTTTACAAGAGGTGGCTTGTAAACTGAAGCACACAACATTGTTGTGCAGTAAATAGGTACTAAAGGAAATGTTTTAAAACCATAGTTGCCTAAGTTATTAGCTTTATTTAAAATGGATCAAGTAACAATTAAAAAATCTCGGCATAGTTAATATATTTACTTTGCATTTATTTTGCATTTGACTGAGCTTAAGAAAACACAAATGATTCCAAAAATAATAGATCTTATTTCTAATTTTATACTGTAGTGCATGTAGGATATGGTTTCCTAATAATACAATGGCTTTTATAGGAGCAAAACGGTAGAAAAAGTATGGATACCTGTGGATCCCTCAATGGAGCTGCATACACTTACCACCTGGTTCACATGTTTTGGGTGTTTTCTTTCAGAAAAGGGACCAACATGGCACAACAGGGAATAACCAGTCTGGCAGGTGGTTCTTGGGTTTTTTTGCCCAAGGTTCAAACCATTAAGCTGCAGAAAGCTCTTCATTGCTTCTCTTGCATTCCGTCAGACTGTGTTCCCGCCCCAGTGTGGAGCCATGTAGTCATGCCTGACCTGGCATAGGAAGCTCGTTCTGGAGGCTCAGGTGCAGCATAGAAATTGTTTTCTAAAAACCGTGGTTGACTGAAATCACTGAATAGTGCTGGGCAGGGAGGAGGGCATGCTGTTAGAGTCGAGTGTAAAAGTTGGATAAGCTGCTTTAAAAGGTGATAATGTTTCTTATATTTAGTCGAGTGCTATAACTAACTGGTACTTCTGGGTGTAAGTAGCTGATGGTGGTATAAACAAGGAATTTTGGAAGGATTTCTGTCAACAAGATAGACAAGAATGTAATAGCTTTTGAATTTGCAAGGGTTTGTGTTAATCAATGGTGAGCAGATAGAGTTCAGGGTTATGAGTTTTGTTGTCCACGTCTTCAGTGAGTGGTGGTTGAAGAGTCAAAGTGCACTTCTCCCTTTGCAGGTGCACTCACTGCATAGCTTTGCTGTATTCTCTTGCATAAATGATGCAGAACCTCAGTAAACTTTGCATAAGAAAATGCCTTTTTATAACTGTGAGAGAAATAAAGGGAGTTGCACTAAGGATGTAAGCGTGAAGCTTGTCTGTCAGGTCCGAGCAACTGAAAGTAAGAAATTTGCATGTACGCAGCATTCATTTTTCTTAATTTGGATTAATCAAGGAGTCTGATAATCTGGTCTGAAGTTTACAGGCACGGCAGCAGTAATTTAATGAAATGTAACTCCAATGGTAATTTAATAAAATATGATTCCACCTGGTGTATCAGGTAGGCTTCAGAGTCTAGGTCAGAGAAAGCTGGAAAAACTACTTTACAGCTTAGCTTCCATGACACAGTGGTGCCTTTGCTCCCCTTTTAAACTCCTTGCCCAGTTTAATTTTCAGCTGATACTCCTTGCTTTCTCCTTCTGTTCCATTTTCTCTAGTCATAGAGGGTGAAGAACTATTTAGGAATCACAGAAGCAGAACAGAGGTACTAAAAGCTTCAGCACAAACTAGGCTCAGCTTTTAATTTTGTACGGATTAATACCTTGGTCTGTATTGAATGCTTTTTGAAGGACAGTGAAAAAGTACAGTCTTCTGGAGTCAGTGACCTGGCAGGAGGGTCTGGGAGCCATCGACTTCACCAGGTGCTTGCAGGCACAATCGAGAACTGTTGTCTTGTGCAACTGGAGAAATTGCTCAATTCAGCCAAGTTTCTCAACAAACATGGAAGATCAGGAAAAACAGAGAAACTTGACAGATAAGAACAGGACAGTGTCAGCCTGCTCTGATATCCTGTTTTAAAGAAGCAGCAGTCAGTGTTGCAGGGGAGAATCACTAATACTATAGCACTTACTGGTTTATTCTACACTCAGGTCCAAATACAAAATTAATCTGATTCATTCTTTGTAAGCAGCAGTTACTCAGCAAATGTTTGCCCTTTGGTTTCACAAGACAGCTTTAAGAGAAATAACTTGTCACTCTGAAAAAGGGAGGGTTTGTTTCTCTTTTCCACTTGTCTTCCCCACTCCTGCTTTTCTTTGGTGCTCATCTTCAAGAAGTTGAGGCAGAAATGAATTAGCTTTCTTTCAGTTCTGCTAACAGATGTTGTTACCAACACAAACTTGGATGCCAGAGTTACTTATTATTGAAAAATCTGAACTTCACTGTGTGTTCCAAACAATTACTACATCTGGGATAATATTTGTATATACTTCGCAATACCAAAGCTAATGGGCTACTTGTAAGACTCTAATATGCTGTAAATGAAGGGAATGGCTTCATCTTCCCTGTTACAAAACCAAAGCTGCAGGCTTTTTTTCTGAAGGGTAAGACTATTGCATACTTAGGGGGCTTGCTGCATGTCTACACACACTTCCACTGAGGTAGATTGTTCTTAGCAGAGGCACTTAGTGACTTACCATGAGGGGTGTGGAGGGAAGTGAAGTAGATGGTGGCATTAAAAGTAGCTGAGAGTAAGACAGCCAGGATCAGCTTGGGAAAAGTTGGGAAGCCGCTGTAAAGGATTTCCCAGTTTTTATTGACCAACCACTTCTCCCCGTGTTTGCCATTATAAATTGGAAACTAAAGTTAACTATAGATGCTCATTTCAAATGAAAAAGTGTGTGACCAAACTTGACCACTCGCTTCAGTTTTGTGGCTTGCCATAGACTTCACTAAAGAATTTCTGAGGTTATGGGCAAACCCTGACTCTTCTGTGTGTGGTAATGAAAGGTGTTACACCATTGGGCAGGACAAAAAATTTTTAGGTTTGTTTAAGTTACCTGAGGGGAAAATCAGCAGGGTTTGGAGGTCATATTGTTCAAGGTACAGTGGCAGTTATACACACAGTACTTACACAGGTCTAGATATACTTGTGGTTAAAAAGGAAAACTGGGACAGGAATGGCTGTGCTGCCTTCAAGGCTTTAGCAGGTTCAATTTCCTTGTAGTTATTTATCTATAACTATTCCTCATATGCTATATGCTACCGGTTAAGCTGGATGACCTATCATAAAGTCTAGGGGTCTACTTTGAAATGAAACATTAAAATGAACACCTTCTAAATCTTGTTTATGCCATGCTGCTTTAAGTTACGGTGTGATAAGAGATCTTTGACCAGCTGTCAATGGTTTTCTGCTTAAACTAAACAGAATGTGATGCTAATCTGTCACAAATGCATTCCATAACTAAATTAAATAGAGCTCACTGAAAAATAAACCAAGACATTAAATATTGTTTATCATGTTGGCGCTGAAAGATGCTTAAAAAATGCATGTACATCCAAGTATTTAATGTTTTCAGTGTTGCAGAGGGTAAGCAAAAGTTAGTATACTTCAGGACAGTTATGCCTGTTGCTTTCTCAGATACTGAAAGAGGAATTAAGGATTTTTTTGTATTTATGCTCTGTTTAATGTCTCCTTATCTTAGTCATTTTTTCTCTCTTTCAGATGGCTTGTTATTGCAGTTGGTCTCGTTCGGGCATACCTGGCTAAAGGCAGCTACCACAGCCTTTACTATTCAATAGAAAAGCCCCTGAAATTCTTCCAAACTGGAGCATTGCTTGAGGTAGGTGTAGTGCTCTTCCCTGGTGTTACTAATGTTTGCATGAATGTGTTGTTCAGTAGAAACAGGGCAGCCTGTGTTGGACAGTGCCTTCTAGGTATCTGTTTTTTTCATTAGCCTTTATAGAGTGATTTGAAAGTAAACATAGGAAATACACCTCAGACAAATACTGAATTTTTCCTTTTAGCAAGTGGTGAGGGAACTTGCTGTCTGCTATTTAGCATTGGCAGCAGAGGTAAATATTAAGCTTAATCTTTGAAAAGCAAATATTGAATCTTAAGCTCTTGTAATAGAACTAAATGTGTGTCTAAATTGCTTAATTTGAAATATTAGTGATTTGAATTTTTCTTTTTGTTCTAGATTCTGCACTGTGCACTTGGTAAGTGCTTGCAAATTTTCAGTTTGTTACTGTTATAGAAGACTGCAATTTTAGCAATGTATTAGCACGAAAAATGTCATGGTCTGTGAATTGATAGATTTAATTCTTGCTTAACTCACTAGTTTTTCCTAGTGAAAAAACAGTGCTTGAGCTCCTGTCTGGATATTCACTAGCCACTATTTAAAGAGTAAGATGGCATTAAGGTTCCTAAAGCTGCAGCTACTAACTTGCTGTTTTTCATGTCTTTCATATATATTATACAAACAGTCCACATACTGAAGGGTCTGTTAGATTGTGGGTTCATATTGAATTCCTGTGGGTTTTTTTTAATAACAAAGTGAGGTAGTTGGGAGAACTTAAACTTGTATACAGGAATGTGTCAGCAGAGGGCAGTCTGGTTCTGTAGTTGATGAAGTAGTTCTGAACCTGCTGAATAATCGGTTGCTCTGAAAACTCTGTGTTAAAGGGCGGTTTGTAGGCTGTGCACAGATCATCCCAAGAAATGAATGATCATATATACCCCTCAAATTAATGGAAAGGCTTCTCAGAGTAAGCTATACGTATCATCTACTTGCCTGTGCTGCCAAGGCAGTCCTTACAATGCTGTTTAATTTTACTAAATCTCAGTTACTGGTTTTTACAAGAATAAACCATGCTTTAAAAAAAATAATTCAGAAATTAATATTAAAATGTGCCGGTTTTGAAGTCTTATTTAACAAGTGGCAAGAAGGACAAGTTAAGTCTTGGAACACTGGGAAAAAAGCCTTGCAGATAAAATGCTGGTTTTACTGTCATAAATCAGTAATGCTGTGCTATTTTCTTAAGCTAAACTTGTGTGCGGACATCAATGTTTACTAGTACTAAATCTAAGAGTGTAAAAAATTTAATTAGATTATCTTTTCCTCATACTTGTGTCCATAGAAATCAATGAATAGCAGGAGAAAGTCCTGTGTTTCACCTTCCAGGCTGATGCAGAACAGCAAGCAAGATGATTATACCAACCGGTCTGTGAACAAAACTAATAATTCTGGCTCAGAATTGATTTGAGATGTGGATCCATTTAGCCCATGTTATCCTCAGTAGCACAATTTAATATTAGTGAAGAGAGCCATTAGGGGAAGGCTACAACATTTTATACCATTATTAGTCTATCTATTTGCTTTCCCTAACAAAATTTTTTTACAAAATACTTATTTTCTTATAACTGGCCATGGATTTTTTTTTTCTGTTAATGGAAACACTTGTCAGCTAAATAAAGAGAGGGACTTTTGCACAGCTGGATGCACTGCTGATGTTTGCTGTAGTCCTACTGACTCTGGCAAAAGTTTCTATGCAAGGAGAAACAGGCAATTTGCAGATTCCTTTGCCCCAACTAAACTAATTGCTCTAACTAGAGCTGTAATTCTCTGTCAGTAGAGGAGTTTATCTGTGACAGATGGCTGTGTGTATCAGCATAACTTTTCTCTCCACATCTTTTCAGCAGAATCTGAAATGTTAGCATCTGTGAGGCAAGTCCTTCAAAATATGAAGATTGATGGGGGAATATCTGTCTAGCATGGTTGAGAACAGAACTTTGACATGTGGCAAAGATTTAAAAAATTCAGAAGAGCTCACATGGAAAGGAGGGAACACATAGCCCAGAGACCAAGAGGAGGGAGCCATCATCATGGCTGGGCTTTGCGAACGAAGATCCGGGAAGGGCTCTACCCACATTTGTTACAAGCGCGTTGGTGGCTAAAAAGGCCAATACAAGACAGACATAACTGATTGCAAAAGGCACAGCAGAAAGACTCCTTAGGTGGTATATTCTGCAAGACATGATTCTTTTTGTGTTGTCTTTTCTCCTCGAGAGTGATCCTGCGTACTTTCTCAAAAGAAGCAGCAGCGTTATAGATGACGTGTCTCCAGGCCTCCCGATTTGAGGCCAGAGTAGACCAGTTATGTTGATCAATATGGCCAAGGCTCAGATGTTGTTTCAGGGAGTCCTTGTATCTTCTCTTTGGGGCTCCTCTCTTGCGGCAGCCGGTGGCAAGTTCACCATAGAGCAGGATCTTAGGGAGGTGATGGTCCTTCATCCTTGAGATGTGCCCTGCCCATCGCAGCTGCGTTCTCAGTAACATGGCCTCAATACTTGTGACTGCTGCTTGTTCTAGAACAGATGTATTGGTCACATAATCTGACCAGTGGATGTTGAGGATTGTACGGAGGCAGCGTTGATGGAAGCGTTCTAGGAGTCGCAGGTGGTGGTGGTAGATGACCCATGATTCAGATTCGCATAAGAGAGTAGACAGCACAATGGCTCTGTAAACACTGATCTTGGTACTTTTCTTCAGGTATTTATTTCGCCAAACTCTTTTATGAAGCTTTCTGAAGGCACTGTATGTTTTTGCTAACCTGTTGTCTATCTCCCCATCAATCTTACCATCCGAGGAGATGAGGCTGCCTAGGTAATTAAACTGCTGGACTGATTTGAGCTCTGATTCGCCAATGGTGATGTGGGGATGATGGAAGACTTCCCAAGGTGCAGGTTGACAGAGAACT